CTATCCCACCATATATACTTAGTTCAAAAAATGCAGCATAAGGAAAAAAACAGATCCCATCTGCCAGGCAAAATAGCTATAAAGTGGAGAAATCAGGTTTTTAATGAATCCATTGAGAGTGACTTGAGTTATTTTTTAATGTAAGAGCAAATAAACTCTTGAGCAGAGCTGCATAGCCATGTAGTATTCTTTTAATTTATAGCTAGGCCAAGTCCAAATCCTGGTTTTAGCTAAATTAGAATGTTCCCAGAAGAGAGAATGATTAGACAATACAAGCAGGCTTATATTGGCCTCCTAAAATTTGGCTCACAGTCTAAAGGCACTAGAATTCCATTCTCAATTCAAGACATGTAAACACTTCTCTACATATTCATGAGACTCACTGCACAAGTTGGCTGGATTTTTCTGTTTTCTTTAGCGCATATCCACAAAAACAAGAGTGTTGCTCTCCCATAGTCCAGTCTGAAGGAGTGTGGGATAAGGGCAGACACCTGTTCTTTCTTCTTTCTTGGCCAGTATTTTCTGTCTCCATTTTTGGACTTCCATTGTGATCAATGCTTTCTCCCCCCCCCCCCCTTTTTTTATTCATGGGATTATTTGAAATATAATTCATTCATAGGATTTTAATGGTTAACAAAGAAAGATCCTCTATTGATAAAAATTAATTATGAGGTACATCATGTGAAGACCAAGACATCATAAACAATCAGAGGTTTTGGGGGCTTGTCACTATTAAGATGTATTGTTTTCCTTAATATTTCACAGCATTCTCCTTCACAGCAGGATGGAGAACTCTGCAGAAACATGACTTTGAATCTCACATGAGTCCTGTACCAATTGAGTATCTTGGGTAGGGGTTTAATATGTCTACCCCAGGAAGTAATAGCTTTGTGATCCAAGCAATATTTACTCCTTTGTTTGTTTGTTTGTTTATTTATTTATTCATTCATCCATTCATTTAATCCTATTAATGAATTTGTTTATTTTTTTCAAGTTTTTATTTAAATTCTAGTTAGTTAACATATGGTGTAGTATTGGTTTCAGGAGCAGAATTTAGTGATTCATCACTTACATATAACACCCAGTACTCATCCCAACAAGTGCCCTCCTTAATATCCATCAGCTATTTAGCCTATCCCTTATCTGAATAGAGAGGGACAAAGTTCTTCACTCAAAGTTACAAGGAGACTAAATAAAAATAGATTGCAATACTGCACCGTATAGATTCTGAATAAATAGAAGTGGAATCTGCAGTATGCAGTCTATGTAGACTACATCAGTTTCATCTGTTAATAGCAATACCATTGACAGTAATAATAACAGCACTTTCCCACTGAGTACAGAAAGCTGGTCTAAGACTGTATGTATATTAGTTCTGTAACTCCTGCAAGAGCCCTTGTGCAGTTCCTCTTGTTATTTATATTCTTTTATCTGTAGAGAACAAGTCTACAGTCTCATAAATACTGTCGTATACAGGACAGTATTTCCCAAATAAAAAACCAGAACATGGGAAGTGACCGTGGAAAGTTTAACATGATGGATTTGAAATTAGAGGCTTTCTCCGAAAATAGAGAATTAAGAATTACAGTTCTCCCTTCTATGACATGTCTTTATATTTCAGAAGAAAAGTAAAAAAAAAAAAAAAAATCACATTTTTATTATTTATCAAGGGAACATTTCCAGGGGGCTCAATCATTCCTCTGGTATTCATGCCTTTGAGTAGAGTAAGTAATCTAAATATTGAAATTACCCAGAATTCTAGATATCTATATTCTGTTACTTTTACTAGCAGATAAATGGCTATTGGTGTTTGGAACAAAGTTTCTGATACTATTTGGCTGGTCCCTAAAAGAATGGTACTACAAAAATATTTGCTTTCTACCTGAAGCCAAAGAAAGGTGAGGAGGTCACACTCACCAAGGATCACAGAAGTGGCATCCTGAATTAGGAAGGAGACTGAGATGTCTGGGAAACTGATCACAGATTTTGAGTAAAATGGTATGGAAATTGATGAAATAGAGAAAAGACTGGATAATATGGGTCATTTCTAAATCTGTGATCAGATGAGCTGTAGAAATCTGATCCCATCCCATCTTACTCTTTGTTATTTTTCTCAAGTCCCTGCAAACCCCAAGCCACGGAAACCCCACCTTACTTACTATTTATGGTACATAATTGACACATTGTGTCATTGTGACTTAGACGAGTCACTATATTCTGTAATTTCTATTCTACTTATATCAGGCGTGTTATCATGAGGAATTGACTGCTCCTTTAGCATTGTGCTCAAGGGCAATTTGCCCCAGTGACTCCTTGGAAAATGCTGGACTCAGCATTTTCAGTCACTATGGGAGGAAAGTGAGAGTGGGGAAGGGGGAAGAACGGAGAGGAAAAGAAAAACCAAGACTTATGACCTCTAGAGTCTTGGGCAAATATGTTAGCAATGTTTAAAGTAATTGAATCCAAGGGTTGAAAGGACCTTAAAAACCCCATATTCTTAGTCTTCACTCAGCATCATTTTTATAACTGTCTGATATCCATCCAACTTCTTTTTGAATATCAGTTTGTTCCCTTATTGTTAGAAATGTCTTTCTTAAATTAAGACAAGTGCTGACTCCATAGAACTTCTAGTCTTTGGAAAATAAGTCTTGATACTCCTCTACCTGACAGTCTTTCAAATGGTTGGAGCCAGCCTTCATGTTTCATTACTCTTTTTTTTTGCCAGGTGAAAAATCATCAGTGTTTTCACAGCTCCTGATATCATTTGCCAGCCTCCTCTGAAAGTGTCCCAGATTCACAGTGAGTCCTTTTCACGATTGCCAAGTTGTAGCTGTTGTTTAAAATAATTATTATATAATGCTTGTTGTTTCTCTCCTAATTGTTTAAGTAATATATGCTTATTGTGGCAAATCACCCATAATCTCACCCCTGAAATAATGACCCTTTATGTTTTCATGTACTTCCTTTCATCTTTATATATTTTAAATTGTTTTATAAAATAGATTATGGATACATTTTGAGTCCTGCTTTGTTTCTCATGTTAATTTCCTACCTCCTTAACACTCTTTGAGAAGATGTCTACAGCAATTCATCCTAAATTTAGTATTTTAAATAATATCCTGATAATATCTTCTTCTTGACCCCTTTACCCTACGTGTCTTCAGAAATTCTTTTTGAAGCACTTAGTCAACATCAGGACTATGGGTTTAAAGACTTGTAGCAATTGCTAGGTAATCATTGATGATAAAGCACTTCAAGTACAATAGAAAGCCAATGTTTTTTTTTTTAGAAAGTTGGTTTAAACTGGGAACACTTCTCTCTTTGTTGACCAAAAAGACACTTCTGAAGCAGATAAAAAAAAAAAATTTGTACTCTATTCACAAGGCATTTAATCTTTGTATTCTTATGGTGACAAACTGAGTTGCTATTAGCCAAGGAGACTGTCTCTTGATGACAGAGGTGAATCCCCAGTGAAAGGAATCAAGTAAAGGTGAGGCAGAACAAGGCTTTGTAACCATAGTTACTTTAAGTCTAAGATTATAAACATATTGCCTCCATTATGAAAGATGCATTAACATTCCTTTATGTCCAGTCTTAGAAACCTTGTTATCAAGGCTACCCTGTTTACTTACTTATCTCTTAAGAGATGGCTAGGCTTAATTAACACTTAAACATTAACCTTGAAAATAGTCCTAGAAAGTGATCAGGGAGGGGGGAATAGAACTCTTTGAAAATGGGATGGAGTGATCTCAAAGAGATACTCAAATTCTAAGAGAAGCAAAGACTTTATCTTATGAGCCTCTTCAAGAATTTGTTTTTGCTGACCCAGAAAATTCTGGAAATGACCTCCTATGTCTCTATACATGCACCTGAATGAAGTGAAGGGTGAAATGGGGGTACTTTAGAAAGCAATCCCTAAAAACAAAATTGCTATGTACTTTGCAGCTAATCACTCATCTAGTTGTAGCAGATGTTTTCTTGTAAATGGTAGAAAATATTCACCGTAAACCACTGGAATGATTAATATATTCCTAACAATAAAGTAGAATGTTCTTTTATGACTAGGCTGTCACCACATTTGGGAAACTGCTGCCTCAGATTTTTTTTCTGCCTTTGTAGCAAACATCCTGACAACCACACAATTTTAGCTTTTGCATGAGAGGCTGGCTATTGAAAACCATTACATCTATTATAGATGTAATGTATTGTTTCTATATCCATGGAGTTTTTGAGATGAAGATTCCGATAGAAATTGTCCCTACCTATGCATAATAAATGTCCAGGGTAAGAAGTTTTCAACTGGCATTCCAAAAGTTTTCTAAAGTCTAGCATTAGCCTTATTTGAGATCTTTTCTAAAGTGCCTTTTTCCTTTGTAAAGCAAGGAGAAACTTTACTCTCACTCAAAGCAGGACTAGATCACTTTATGTGATAATCATCTCTAACTTGACTCCTAATGCTTACTTGACTCTTATGCATATTGCAGAATTTAGCTTAAACATAATTTTCTCAAAGAAACCTATTTTTCTGCACTAAATTAACTAGCCTACCACCCACTACCTGATCATATTTTATACCTTCACAGTATCCTAAATTTCTTCATGTGACCTAGCAAATTTGTAATTCTGTTACTCAATGCCTATATTCTCCACTAAGTTTAAAACTATGTCAAAACAGAGACCTAATCTGCACTTTCTCATTGCTGTTTTCCCGGAACCAAAGATAGTGCCTTGTACATGGCCAGTCTTCCACAAATATTTGCTGAATGAATAATATTGATGCATTAAATATACTCTATTGGGATCCTTGAAGCATGAGCTTTCCCATAATATCACTTAACTAGTTTTATCTGAGAAAGGAGATGGAAGTGGAACTCCATATTTTGAAATGCAAAATCTAGAATGTCTGGATTTAAGCATATTCATGGTTAGTGAAAAAGTCTACCATTTTGGGAAAACTCAAGGATTTCTCCCTTTCTATTCTCTATCATACCCCAAGAGGAGGATAAATATGAAGAAAGGGCAGTATTGGATCCTACACAAGGATATAAAACCCTCCATGTGACAATGAAAGGGGTTAAATCATCTTGTGATCCAGTAAAAAATTTCCTTCATACTTGGGAATCAATTTTCATGCTCTTGGTAATTGATAATACATGCTATAGTAAGAGAAAAATTAATGGCATATGATCATAGGAAACCTTTAGAAAGTAAAGATTATTATTTCTATTTATTTGCTTTGTTATAGATTAAACCACTGTTTTATTTTGTTTTAAAGAGAAATTATATAGTCACATTTTTAAGTTTTCTTCTTTGTAGAGTCTCCTTATTTTCAGGGTATTGAAATAGCTATTCCAGGTAATTACAATGTATACTGAGGAGAAGAGACAAATATTTTGCAAAAATATTCCAAATATTTTATGTAGGTACTCTACCCCAAAGGAGGTGGAGCATAAATCCCCATTACTTAAGTATGGGTTATGAATAGTGAATTCTTTCCAAAGATATCATACACATGGGGTGGGATAGAATAAGTTTACAGTGAAGAAATCTTACAAACACTACCTCAGCGGGGTGATCAAGGTTGACATCAGCAGTGATAAGTCATGTTGGTGATATGATGATGTGATGAAAATGATACCTTATTTCTTGTGATCTTCCTCCTAAAACTTACTGTCCCAGTCTAATCATGAGAAAAACATCAGCCAAATCCCAACAGAGGGATGTTCCACAAAACACTTGACTAGTACTCCTCAAAATCATCAAGCCAACAACAAACAAGGAAAGTCAGAAATTGTCACAGGCGAAAGAAGCATATGGAAACACTACAACTAAATGCAATATGGTATCCTCAACAGGCTAGGACACAAGGTAAAAATTAAGAAAATCTGAGTGAGGTGTGCACTTTAATTAATAGTAATGTATCAATATCAGTTCATTAGTTGTTACAAGTGTACCCTAGTCATGTAAGATGTTAATTAAGGAAACTGTGTGTGGGAATTCTCTGTAGTATATCTGCAATTTTTCTTTCAATCTAAAATTGTTCTAAATTGAAAAGTCTAATTTTTTTTTAAATGACTCTTTCAGCCTTAGAAATCTTATCAGACTAAAATTCTTGTGGCCACAAGTTGAATCCTATTTATTCTGGTTGTTTTTAAAAGAGTAGGATTGTATTTGTTTCTTATGGCTGTCATAACAAAGTATCACAAACTGTGTGACTTACATAACAAGATTGTCTCATAGCTCTGCTAGATACAAGTCTGAGATCAAAATGCCAGCAAGGTTGGTTCTTTCTGAGGGCTGTGAGGAAAATTCTGTTCCATGCCTCTCATCTAGCCCCTGCTGGTGTCTGGCAATCTTTGACATTCTTTGGCTTATAGATGCAGTGCCCTGATCCCTGCCATTATCTTCACACAGTGTTCTCCTTGTGTGTGTGTGTATCTGTCTCTTCCCAGGTTTCCATTTCAGAAGGGTACTAATCATATTAAATTAGTTTCTACACTAATAAGCTCAACTTAACTTGATCTACAAAGACTTCATTCTCAAATAAAGTCACATTCATAGGTGCTGGGTACTTTCAAGATTTCTTGGAGGGACGCAATTTAATTCATAACCCAATCTTTGAAATCTAAATGTCTGTTCATCTAGGAAATCACCTCACTTATTGGATGACCAAATTAGACTGGTATTGTTTGGATAGTTTTCTTATGAGCCTATAACTGATACTTACTGCAAGTGATCTTGGAGTTAATGAACTACTAACCCTTTCATGGGGCCAACCAGATTTCAGGCTTTTTAGTACATTTGAGTTGACACAATCACAGCTAAAACTACAGATATAGACCCAGTCAATTTTTATAAGCTCAAGTGAATATAAGTACATTGAATTTGGATATGCATATTTCTCTCTTCTTGTCCCCACTACTCCTCTCCATCTGCCTCACGTCCAAACATGTTCAATAGTCAAAGTGTTCAGATATTATTATAAAGCACAAAACTGATCAATCATAAAGAATTTTTCAATGCATAGTTCCAAGAAATCTGCCCAGCCAAGCCTTTTGGAGACAATATGTAAGTAGACAGGAGCACCTGTCTATGGAGTAGATTACGGACTCCTCAACTAATCAGATTTATGAACCCACTAATGTGGGCATTTATCCTATCCTCTTTCTCACCTGTTATAATGGATATACTGCTGTTACTCCTTTTTAAGGCTAATTTCTCCAGTTGGCTTCAAATCACATCACTTCAAAGAGACACAAAATAAACACTATAAATAAGTAAAATGCATATTTTAGATAGTATATAAAATAGTAATGAGTGTTAAGAAAAAAAATAAAGCATGGAAAGACAACATAAAATGATGTCAGACTACATGAAATTTTAGATAAGACGTTTAGGGATGATCACACTGAAAAGTTAACTGTACAGTGAAGAACCAAAAGAAATGAGAAATTCAGGTATGTGGACATCCTCAGGGAGACAACCAGTAATGTTCCAGGCAGAGGGAACAGCTAATCTGAAAGTAAAGAGAGGGCATTCCTGGCATGTTTGAGACCCAGGTGGCTGGAACAGAGAGAATGAAGGGGGGGATATTAAGAGACGAAATCAGACAGATATCAGGGAACCAGATTACTTAGGTGGTTGTTCAACATAGTCTTTTGGTTTTTACATTGAATGATGTAGAAATCCATTGAACTATGTTTGAAAAGAGGAATCACAAGAAAATAACCATGCTTTCTGGGGAAAGGATAAATTATGGAGAACTGGGGGCAGAAGACGGAGGGTAGTGAGGGACTATTGGCAATAACCGAGGCAAGAAAAGATGGTGTCAAGGATGTTAAGAATGGAATGGGAAGAAGTTGTTAATTTTGGATACAATTTCATGCAGAATGAAGAACATTTGCTGATGCAATCGATGTGAAGAGTGGGAAAGAGAGGAGGAAAAAAAGCCACCACAAGGTGTAGGGAAGATTGAATTACTGTTTAAGTGAGATGGGAATAACTTCAGGAGGAGTTACAACTTTAATAGGGAGAGGCAGGTATCAGGAGGTCAGTGTTGGACATGTTAAGTTTGAGCTGCCCATTATATTTTCAAGTGGAGATGTCAAGTAGTCTGCTGGAAAGTTAAGTCCAGGATTTAGGGGGAAAGTTCAGGCTGGAGACAGAAAGTTTTGAACCATTAGCATATAGGTGGTATCTGAAAGCATGAGACTAGATTAGATGACTTACTAAGTGTAGGCAGGAAAGCAGTAGCCCAAGGACTAAGCCCTGGATGTTCCGGCACCTCCTAATCTTCATTCATCCTCCGATGTTCTCTGTGTATTTTCTGCAGTCATCTGCCCTATAAATACCCATTAGTAGTTGTTGTTGCTCTACTGTATGCCAAACTTATAAATAAAGCTATAGTGATTAAAAGAGCATGGTAAGGTTTCCAAAGATATAAGTAGATCAAATGAACAGGATCAACAGACCATGTAATTTACAACATGTGAGGAATAGAATAGTGGAGAATATGGTCTTTTCAGCAAATGATATAGAAAAAAAAAAAAAAAGAAACTTGGCCTTCCTTCACACTGTATACAAACATTGATGGATTCCACACATATTGTAGATTTAAATGTGAAAGGTAAAATAATAAAGCATGTAGACGATAATGTAGGAGAATATATTTACAATCTCACTATAAGTGAAAGATTTTTTTTAACTTAATTTTTATTTTCAGAGAGATAGAGAGTGTCCATGAGTGAGGGAGAGGGGCAGAGGGAGAGAGAGAGAATCTCCATGCCTAGCACGGAGCCTGACACATGACCCCAGGATCATGACCTGAGAAGAAACCAAGGGTGGGACATTCAACTCACTGAGCCACCCAGGTGAAAATTTCTTTTTTTAAGATTTTTTTTTTTTAGAGAGAGAGAGAGCCAGGCAGAGGGAGAAAAATATAATCTTAAGTGGGCTCCATGCTTAGCTCGATCCCACTACCCTAACATTATGGCCTGAGCTAAAATCAGGAGTTGGATGTTCAACCGACTGAGCCACCCAGGTTCCCCAAAGGTGAAAACTTCTTAAATGAGAAGCAAAATACTAACATAAGGAAAAGACTGAAAAATGGGGTTATATATTAAAATTGAATTTTTCTGTTCATCAAAATGTACCATTAAGACAGTCAAAAAAAAAACCCATCAAGAGGAAAAAAATGTTTTCAATACATATTACTAGTAAAAACCCTTTTTCCATCTTATATAAAGACTGCCCATATAAAAATAATGAAGAGGCACACAACCTAATAGAAAAATGGACAAGAAGGGGTGCCTGGATGGTTCAATTGGTTGAGTATCTGAATCTGAATTTTGGCTCGGGTCGTCACTTCACAGGTGTGAGATCGAGCCCTGCATTGAGCTCTGTGCTGAGCATAGAGCCTCCTTGGGATTCTCTCTCTCTCTCTCTCTCTCTCTCTCTCTCTCTCTCTCCCTCTCTCTCTCCCTCTGTCCCTCCTCCACTCATGCTTTCTCTCTCTAAAAAAAAAGACAGTAAAACTGAAAAGACACTACACAAACATACAATAATAGCAAATATCCATAACATTGGAATATATGAAAAGATATCCAACCTCACTAGCAGTGTGGAAAATGCAAATTAAAATCACCTAAAGAATGGTTAGATTTTAAAATACTACTACTAATAATAATAAATATTAGGGGGCAATAGGAATTATCACATAATGGTATTGGATGGTACTACAACTACTTTGGAAAAATGTATCTACTAAATTTGACCATATTTTAAGGCCCTGTAATTTTACTCTTTAATATCTGCCCATGATAATGCAGAACATGCATACCAGAAAACGTGTACAAAAATGTTCACAGCATCATTATTTAGCATAGTCAAAACTGGAAAAAATGTTTTTCAACAATATGGCTAAATAACTTGTCGCATATCTATGAATGAATGGATATAATGACAAGTAAAAGAGGCCAGGAAAATACATATATATTTTATTACTATTCCTTTATATATATTATATACACACATATATACACACATATATATACACATATATATTAAATATAGGTATATACATACATATATATTAAATATACATATATATTTTACTATTCCTTCATATATAACTATATATGTATATAGTTATAGTTATAGTTATATATAAATTTATTCTGTATGACTCAACCAGAGGGCTTAGCAATGCATGCTTTGATGACATCAAGAGAAGGAAGGAAATTATCATTAGAACATTCAAAGTATTGGTAACTTTGAGGAGGAAGGAGTGATTGAAAGAGGGTGCATAAAGGGCTCTCCCAGGCACTGATGATATTTTGTTGCATGACCATGATGACATTTACAGATATTTGCTTTATGATAAATAATTGCACTCTCATGAAGGAAAAAAAAAGAACTGAATTAGAGAAATGAAAGATCAATTGTTAGTTTTTATTAAAAATATTTATTAAATATAACAATATTTATTAAAAATATGAGTCTGCCCTACTGCAGTGTCATATGTTTCTTTTGATTTTATGCTTGGGCCAACTCCAGAAATTGGTAGAGTGCTATAACAGAAAACATAAGAGGGACGCAAAGGAGCATGATGTATCAGATCAAGAAGAAAAACCTGTGATCACAGATAGCAAGAGTTTTCATTTCACTTAACATTGTGATTGGTAGGCACTCTGAGGCTCTCTGATTGATCTTGGAACCATTCATTACCCAAACAAGAAAGTATTTTGTAATCAATTATTAATATCTGTTATTTTCATTCACCCAGGGTGCTATAACAAAATACCACAGACTGAGTAGCTTCTAACTACAGTAACTTATCATTTAACAGTTCTGGAGGCTGAAAAGTCTAAGATCAAGGCAGCAGCATGGTCACCTTCTGGTGAGGACCCTCTTTCTGGTTCACAGCTGGTACCTTCACTCTGTGTCCTCTTGTGGAAGGGGCCATGGAGCTTTGGGGGGCCTTTCGTATGACACAATTC